ATAAAATTTATATTTTTCATGAGAATGTTCAAATAGGTTGGTGCATAAAACGTTGTTCAGTGCGTTTTACTTACTTATTTTTTACTTATTGTTCGTCCGAATTAGCTTATTATTCTCGTTGCTTAATTTTGTCTCATTATCTAGTCATTTGTTTACCCGATTCAGTTGTCCTAATTGTAGCAGCAGGTTCTCATGTTGATTCGACGTTTTGTTTATAATAATCCTTCCATCATCGACTTTGCATGAATTAACTTTGTTACAGGCATAATTACTGACTTATATGTGATTTCAGTGCATGTATATCCAGGTATCTCGGTTCAAAACTTTGTTGATTCTGAACGATCAAAGGCGAGCTTATTTGGTCGTCATATTGTGTTGATAACGAATACGAAGATTCTGTATAATTATAATTTTATGGTGCTTTTATTATCACTGTTTATGATCATTATCAGCGTGATATATTTGTATGTATATTTCCAGTTCAGTATTTTCTCACATAAGTCTACGAGTTGATTTCTTCCATTATTTTCTTGAAAATTATTCGTTTTTTTTTCATTCAGTAATCATTATGATGATAGTCAGCATTATTTGTTTCTAGATATAAATCAGTCTATTTATTTATTCATCCATAAATGTAAATCAATTTGTTGAATTTATTGTAATCGCGCATTAACAGTGATTGTTCAAAGTTTGATATGATAGATTACAAATGTATTATCATTACTAATGTGAAACGGAAAATTTTTTGAGCAATTCTGTCATTGTTTGTTATTGCTCTTTTGCAATTCTCGATTGATCTGCAAAATTTCAGAATAAAATCTTCTGTTTTCTTTATTCTAGCATGTGTACGTGAATAACTGCAACGCAAATCCAACGTGTTGGAAAAATCCTCATTGATGAATTACCAGCAGATGAATTCAATGCAGATACCAGTTGTCAAGGGATTGGACGATAAGAAGTGAGAAAAACTCGAGGATAGACAATTGAAAAAATCCCCAATCAAATCTGAGAAGTCGTAAATCGCATGTCAATCGCCATCGCAATCTGTTAGCTTTGGAAATTTAACAACAAGAACATCATCATTATACATAACACAACGATATTGTTGTGCAATGAAGAATACCAGAAATTAATGCGACTTTGTTTAGTTTTTTCGTTAGCAGTAATAACACAACTATGAATAATTCCGAAAAACTGACTTCTAGTTTAAGTTGTGCCGAGCATCGTTGATGTTTCTTTCTCATTTTCAGTGGCATCAAAATTCGCCAAACTACTCAATTTACCGATCAAATCCTCCGAAAACCGCCTGTATGACAGCAAGCGTTCGGCGAATTCATTCTTCTCTTTGAACGATACCATACTTCGTGATATCTGAACGTAGTTTCATGAACACACTTCATACCGATTATGGCAATCGCATTTCTGACAATGACCGTCACCTAATGAACAGCACAATTTAAATGAACTTAAAATGGAGCATTCGCCTCTACGGATGAGTCGGTAAACTCCAGAAATCGCTATTCTGAACTGTTTCTGCCTCTGTAGAATTTCACTATGCCAGCGGATATTTCTACAATCATCCACCCATCAATGATTTGATCTGCTCACAAGCTGATCGATTTGCGAAGTCTCAAGATTTCTGAAGGAAAGTAAAGTGGTTCCGTGTGGCACTCCGATTGCAACTCGATGATCACATCGATTGGAACTTTCTTAGAACAAGCAAAAGAATCGGTGAGAATTTGCACTAAACCAACTTTAAGAGTGAAGAACGCAAACGTTATTGCATTCAAGAGGAGAGCAATAAATGACAGCAGTGAAATTAATACTGCCGAAACGAGCATTATCATGAATTCGCTTTGCGTATCGTGTTGGGGTGTTTCGAATGTTTCATACGCTTGGAATTTCATCTTGTCTTATTTGTTGACGATTGAATGGATGCGTATCGTGACGCCTCCTTGCTGTCGTTTCTGGAAAGGACGATTTATTAGGTTGATGATATTTATGCCGAGAAGAAAGACAGGAAGGTTTATTCAAGTAAAAACACTGAAATGAAGAATTGATCTCGGAAGATGTTGCAATGATCACACTGTTCTCTGAATCCAGTGGAGGATTTGGCCTGATTTCATCATATCAACTAGTTATTCCTTCTTATTTAGCTCATCGAAACATCCAGTTACAATCCAGAAACGGAGCTGGAGCTCTCCTATTATATACTCAAATGGGGTAAACCTAAGAAAGTCTGAAATTTCGACTCGTCTTCGGTATATATCCACCAGCAACACGCTCAGTGAAGTAAACCAAAAACAATTTATGAAATTAAAACGAAATCACAATCAACCGACTTATGGCTTTCAATGGAGACAATGATGATGTACCGGTGCAAAGCTAATGAACAAAATTTATGAATCCAGAAACATTCATCTTTATGAATAAAAAATATTCGTTTTCTTAAATTTGCGGGTTTATGATAATTTCACGAAACTGGTGCAATAAATGACATGAGTTTTGTCCTTTTAGATTTTTCATTCTTTTAAAATTCCAAGTCATTTAACAACAGATGATTGATATCTTTTCGAGAAGTGCTGTGAGCGTTAAGCTGAAAATTATAGTTGATACGGTGCCGCTTTGTTCAGCTCATTAGCTAATGGCACGATATGAAGTGGTATCAGCAGAGATTGTATTCGAAACATTGCGAAATGTTGCAAAAAAATTGACCAAAATTATTTCTCCTCTGTTGCTTTTGCTTATGCAGCAAATAGATACTTGAATGTTGATACGCATGAAACTGCTATCATTCACTTATAATTAAATTGTCTGTTCAACAACAGCCATATGTATCTCTAATGAATAAATATAATCCGTATAGCTCCATTTAAAAAAGTTTATGCAGTAACATTTCGATTTACATATAACACAGAGTTTTGAAAATGGATATGGTACATTTGTTCAATACAATTTTTAACAAGGTTGCATATGAATTATTGATGACCATACTTATGCATTCATAATAAGCCTCCTTATTTTTAACATAACAGTTTCGTTTGATCTCCCCGATTCGGCAACTTATATCAATATAGAATACCATGTAAATACCTCCATAACAGATAAAATTGCGTTTGACTGAAAGCATACATTAGCTAAAACAACTATTTTTGAAATTTCATTCAAAAAATGATGATTAGTTGATCGCAGCTTCGTAATCTTCAATAAAATTCGCCACTCGATCAGCCATATAATCACTGATCAACCCTTTCAGAGCGAAGTATTCCAATAACACTCGATGAACGTATAGATACTGTGCATCACTCTAAAATTTTCACCGATCTTATCGTTATCATAACTATTTTTTAGCATATCATCACACTTTCACCCGAAAACTTGATAAATGAATTGATTTGAGGCAGATCTGAAGTGTTGACGATTGAAAATTAACTTCTTCAAACATTATGCTTAAATGAACTCAGTCGACACTGGAAAAATGATGCGAACCTGCAAAAGATAAGCACGTTCGGATCGTAAACGTTTCAGTATCTCATTTGAACTTTCAGGTTTCTGGCCAGTCACCAATGTCTCCAGTATATAGGCCATCATGATCAGTGTTCCAGTGCGCCCGATACCAGCTGTGCAATGCACTACGATCGGTGTCCTGCAGTACGTAATCGTAGTTTCGTAATCGGATAAGGGAGCTATTTCGACACCATTAATCAACCATAAAATCTTCAATCAACAGTGCTGAGTGATAGGGAAGGATGTTTTGCATCAAATGAAAAAATTCTGATGAATGTTCAAGATTTAACTGACAATGAGATTGAGAGAATCAAACGAAAGAATCATTCAAACAATGTCAAATGCACTGCATCTAACTGTTATGTTAAATTCGTGTTATTGTTGCTGACTGTCTTATTATGCCGCCTTATTACCTTTTTGAATACGGCACTATACTTAAGAAGCTACTGTACCAAATACATCAAGAACAGTGTTATGGTCACTGAGTTACTGTATTGGTTGTTATCATTCTTGTTGTTGCTATTATTATTATACAGAATTGATCAGAATCAATTAATCAGTAACAGCAATAATTAACAAACTTGGATTTTCGTATATAATTAAGTAGAGAAATCGGTGTGAGATCGGCTGGTGGTACTTTTCGATCAGGCCAATTCAGCCATTGGAAGTGATCGACAGCATGATAGAACACGTCATCGACCATTATCGCTAATCCAGAGATTTGTATCGTCACTGTCCCCGAGCATTCCGGATGTAACTTCAGCTGAAAATTTTTCTCATAACATTTTACTGGATAAAGATTGCTGCTAGTGCTACTGAGGTTCCGAACAGCGCCTGAGAAATGTGATTCCCATATCGATAATAAGCAAACAATCTAAAAATTAATGAATAACCTTCCTAACAACGACCGTTTTCACAGTAATATTGTCAAATTTCACCGATGTTCCAGGTTCTCGTGACCAGTACTCAAAACACTACAAAATTAACTTGTAACAATGGCCTTACAGTCGACCAGCTGATCAAATTACTCATCTTTTACGGTTCGTATAAATCGAAACAGATTAAGAACAATATCTAGAATTCTCTATGTCATTCCGAATGTTATAGATGTATCGTACCGCGGTTGAATGAAGACTCCTAATATAACTTCAAGCAACTCAAAATGAAGAAACACAATGAAAAGGGGACCTTTGGTTTACCATTTTCTTCAATATTGCATAACATAACGATTATACAACAACCATTCTGCAAAATCATCTGCCAGAAGTCATAAGCAGTTGATGGTAAGGGTGCCTGAAAGCTACATATTGAAGAAATCTATATTCATTCGAGATCAAATCAATGGTTCAATTCATTTTCAGGAATTAATGACTTGGTTTGTCTCACAATCAGTAAGATGCTTTCATTTGCTTAAAATTAAAGTTTTTGGTTATATTCTCTGAATTCACAACCATTTCTTTACAATTCGTTGATTACATATACTCGTTGGTGAATTCTCATTCTTTTTTAAGGT